TATTTAGATCGAGTCGAGCATCTTAATAGTTATTTTCAGTCAGTCTGAGCGTAGTACTTAGTATTTGTTTATTTATATAATTTTTATAGAGTGATCAGCAGCAGCACTTACATTATCAGTACAAGTGGGGACTCAGACTGGTTATTACATTGGTTATAATTGCTCTATCATGTTTTAAGGTATGTATATGAGTTATTCCACTCTGGGTGGAGGCGCAGTAGCCTTAATAGGCCATCCCGAGTTCTGGTGGAGGCGCAGTAGCCTTAATAGGCCATCGGAATGTGCACATGGACGGACATAGTGTCCGAGGAGGTTCAGTTCAGTTACAGACCTTGTGTCTGGAGATTACAGTTTACTTATATATACCTGCAGTCATGATATTTATATTATTATTAATGTTTACTTTAGTATGAGTTTCTGCGGAGTACAATGTTTCTAGTACTCACGCTCCCACTATTATGATTCTTTTTCAAGAGACAGGGTCGGTCCGGAGGATTGAGTGGAGCTGGTGGTCGTCGGTCCAGTTCATGTAAATATGTATATATTTTTGCAGACTGTTGATATGTATATATTTGCCACGTTTTACTTCCGCTGACGTTTTCAGACTTCCAAACTAGCGTGTAAATTTTCAGACGACTATCTGAGCTTTCGGGTCAAGTTTTATACAGTATTACGCGCTTGTTTTATAAAAGATAATCCGTTTTTCGTAAGTGATTCTAGAAAATTAATAAAGTTAACGGATTTTTAGAAAAGAAATATTTTATGTAGCATCCCGAGACATGCTTCGAAAACTAAAATGTAAAACTTTAGAAAAGAATTTGCGAAAATCGCACTCTGATTTTAGTAAGCTAGCGGGGTGTTACAAATTGGTATCAGAGCACATTATCGTGTATCTGAATACTTTTAAAGTCAGAAATTTTCAGAAAAGACCCGACCACGCTACGCTCACGCCTCGCCGACTATTAGGTAAGTACTGAGTTACAGTTTATATATTTAAACGAATGCTTAAGTCTATGCTCAGTAAGAGGGTATCAGATATTTGACCCTAGAAACCAGTAAGATGCTCAAGTATGTTCAGAACTTAGTCGATTGTCCCAATTAATTGATAGTTCGACTTTAGTATTCTCGGGTTATTAGCGACTCGTCAAGAGATCTGTGTATTTAAGCAATCAGTCAGTTAATCTTTTATGTTATTTAATCATGTTAAACATTTCAATGTTCAGATGCCTCCTCGTAGAGAGC